TGTCCGCCAACATATTTGGCCAATAGCACCGCTGCCGAATCAACTCACTGGTGCGCTCCACCCCTTGATGCCCATGTTGTTCATGGAGCTGCCTCCAAACCTCTTCCCTCAAAACATCAGGCAACACTAATTGGTAACATTCCTCACCTCCGTCAGGACGAAATATCTTCCGATACAGCAATCCTTCCCTCGCCTCTAATCGATTCCATTGCTGGAAGAGGGTCAAACATGGTTTACTCAACTGATGCCGCTCCTCAGGTCCTGGGCGCCGGCCCTGCTCCCAAAACTTTATTACTGGTCCTATAACAGGATCAGTCTCCTGCATAGATCGCAGGTCAGGGGCGGAATAGCCTGGCAGCGCATTCACTGCCCTCACATCTGCCTGTGCTACATTTCCTATGCCAACAGCCTGCTGTAACAACTCAGGGACTACAACACCTGCCGCCAAACCCTCGAGCGGACCACGAACAACTGGGTGCTGGCGAGAGAGAGCGTCGGCGTTACCATTGCTCCTTCCGGCCCTATAACGTACTTCAAAATCAAAAGCAGCTAACTCTGCAGCCCAACGTTGCTCTGTAGCGCCGAGCTTTGCTGTAGCCAAATGACTTAAGGGATTATTATCTGTAAAGACAATACACTTATGCCCTAAAAGATATTCCCTGAATTTTTCAACCATGGCCCACTTGAGCGCTACAAACTCTAGTTTCATTGAGCTGTAATTGGTCATATTACGCTCAGTGGGCCTTAGGCTGCGACTGGCATATGCGATGGGTCGGATTTTCCCTTCAAATTCTTGAGACAGAATTGCCCCCAGCCCTCCATGACTAGCGTCTACCTCTAAAATGAAGGGTTTGGAAAAATCTGCGTAAGCCAGTACTGGGGTAGATGTTAACTTGCTTTTTAGGGCCTCAAATGCGGTCTGACAATGTTCGGTCCAGACAGGAATCAAACTCTGCCCTTGTCGCTTGCCTGACTTACCTCCCCCCACCTCGGCAACTAGCTTATGCAGAGGGGCTGCCAATTTGGCAAACCCCTCCACAAAGCGCCTATAATAACTCGCAAAGCCAAGGAATGTTCGTAACTCAGAGACAGTCTCAGGGCAACGCCACTGTGCAACAGCCTCGATTTTACCTGGATCGGTGGCTACCCCTTGCGCCGATATAACATGTCCCAAGTACTTGACCTCTGGCCTGAAGAAAGCACACTTCTCCAGCTTTACCTTGAGTCCTTCCCTCTCCAACCGACTCAAGACCATTTCCAATCTCTCTAGATGTTGGGCTACAGAGGAGGAAAACACAACAACATCATCAAGATATAGGAGCAAGGACTGACACCGCTGATCACCAAATAGTCTCTCCATTAACCTCTGGAACGTACTTGGAGCGTTGCAAAGTCCAAAAGGCATACGGTTCCATTCAAATAATCCAAACGGCGTACAGAACGCAGTTTTGGACTTATCCTGCTCGGAAACAGGAACCTGCAAATACCCGCTGGCCAGATCCAGGGTAGAGAACCAGCGAGCCCCTCCTAATGAGTCCAAAGATTCCTCAATACGAGGAAGGGGAAATGCATCCCTTCTAGTCTTGGCATTCAGGTGACGGTAGTCTACGCACATACGCAGACTACCGTCCTTCTTTTTGACTAGCACAATCGGCGATGCATAAGGGCTACAACTTTCGCGAATTATTCCAGCCTCCAACAACTGATGGATATGAGTTTTTGCCACCTCATATTCAGAAGGGGGTATCCGTCGATATCGTTGACGCACTGGAACGTTGTCCAGTAAAGGAATGTCATGGGAGATGAGGCGAGTACAACCTAGATCGTTCTCATGACCTGAAAATACTGCCTTATATTTCTGCACCAGAGCTCTAACCTGAGCCTGTTCTGATTCTGACAAAACCGATAAATCAAGAGACTCCAGCTGTTGAGATAAGAAGGGGCTCCCTTGCACGCTATGGGACTGAACAGTGGCAATTACTGGTTTTACTTCAACAACTCCTGTTGGCAAACTGGCAACATAAACCTCTTGTAGATTACCCAGCACCGTCCTAGGGCGAAGGGTCACATCCACGGTGCCAACATTCACTACGGGCACATACACGGTCCCTTGAATTACTCTTACCAAAGCAGATGATGCTAAAAGTCCAGCTGGGAGGCCTGACTCAGGGGGCTCAAATAGAACAGTACTGCCAAAATACTGGGCCGAACACGTTGCAGCCACTAGCTTAATTGTGCCACATGGTATGCGACACACTCGACGTCCGCGCACCCGCACACACCCCGCACGATCCAAGTGCTCTCTAGCTCTTACCTGCTGACAATATTGTAGTGCACTTGACACGCCTGGTAATTCAGTAACTGCAGGTAGGTCAAAGAGAGAGGTGCCATGCTGCCCGAAAAGCTCCTTATAACACCGGCCAAGAATGTTCATCCCCAGTACCCCAGGAACATCCACACTCATGCCACCAGGAGGATCCCGGACAACCAGGACACCGCATCCAACGACCAACTTGCCACAAATTTCCACGTCTAGCTCTAAATATCCTATGTACGGGATGGTAAGCCCATTGGCTGCTCGAAGCTGTAACCACTGACAATTTTGAAGACGGTCCTGACCCCATGGTTCAAAATGTTGTCGAAAACAACTTTCAGTGATCGTCGTCACCATCGAACCAGTATCCACCAAGCAGGGCACCAAGACACCCCCCATTTGGGTAACCACCTGTGGACAAGAAGAGATTAAATGGGGAGCTGAGCTACATACACCTATCTTGCTAGAGTCAATTTCCTCCCCACCCAGGCGGTGACTCTGTGGCCTGGGGGGAACTAGTTTTCCGACGGTCTGGAGACCCGTGGCTGTCTATTCCCGGCTGTAGGAGGGTTTGTCATAGGCTGTGGGGGGTTTGGGAAACTTCGTTCCCCATCACACTCGCGAGCAAAATGGCCGGGTCGTTGACACCGCCTACATATAACTGGGCCAGAACGAGGGGAACGACTACGCACATGTGGTAGTTGGAAACGAGCGAAGGTCTGCGTAAGCTGATTCAACTGCTGCTGTTGCTGCCGGAGCATTTCTCTCAATTCACCCAACTCTGACTGCTGAGGTGATACAGCAATTTCAACTGGTGCCCCTCCACGTACCCCATATTGAATACCATATGCTAGTGGGACAGACTGACTACGCCCTCTCGACCCTCCCGGCATTCCCTCCTGTACCCACCTAATTGCTTCACCTCGAACCTCCAATAAGGTAGCAGTAGGCTGGCGACGTACCAACTGCTTCAGTTCTCGCCTAAGGGTGCTATCAGCGACGTGCTCGACAAATTGGTCCCGCAACAAGGTTTCTGCATTCTGTATAACTTGTGGCGACCGGCTCTTAACCCTTTCCAAAAGGCCCATAAGCGCAAGAGAAAACTCTAGCAGAGTCTCACCCTCCTGTTGCTTCCTGGAAAAGAAGGCCTCTTGTAATGCTACATAAGATTGTGAACACCCATAGAGATCACGGAGCGCCTTAATGATCCTATCGGGGTCTCCGCGTTCTAGATCAGGACGATACTTGATCTCTTCTCTTGCCTCTCCCTCCAAGTGGTCAAAAAGGAAGAAAGCCTGATCTGCTTTTGACAAATGGCGCACCCTCATACACGCCTGTGCCTCCTCAACCCATTCGTCAATATCCAAACCCGATTTGCCATTGAATTTTGGGCAACGTCGATCTCGCGGTACAAAAACAAATCGTTCAGGCGCAACAGCGCCAAGCGGTTGAGGCGTCACAGGCGGAACAGTAGAGGTACTGGGCAAGGCTGCATCAGGACGAGGCAAATCAACTGGTGCCTGTGCCTGCTGCAACCTTACGTTATCGGCTCTCAACTGGGCTACCAAGTCTCTCAATTCTTGTAATTCCTCCTCCATCTTAATGCTAATTTATTTACTTTTAAAGAAGAGACTTACCACACGAGAAAGAGGTCACCAAATGGAGCAACTCAGGCACAATGCACTGCTGTCCTGTTTCAAAAAAACCAGACAAAACACACAAAAACAAAGCAAAAAAAACCAATGTCTCTGACGCAAAGTTATGGTGACCCTGCCGACTACGCCAAAATGTGGCGGGCGACACAAAAGCAGTAAGGGGAGTTCCTTAAGAATTATAATTAATGGTATTGCATCATCGAAATCCGACTACGCCACCCTGGGAATTTCACCCAGAGAATTTAAATTAGCCCCTACAAAAAGGCATACACAAGTTCGTATCACCCAAAAGAGTCAGAGACATGAGTTATCGTACAAAAAAATCAGTTTTATTGACAATTCTTAAAAAATGAGCAGTATAAAAAGGATATAGGACACTTTGTCCAAATTCAATGAACCCTTAGAGGTTTAGCAGCAGGTCTAAACAAGGACAAGAGACACCGAGGCAGGGAGTCGTAGCGTACCACCGACGGGTGCAGAACCACTGCACTGTGCTCACGCACACACACACACACACACACACACAGGGGTGTTAATTCCAAGCACTGCACACGGTGAAAAAGATACCGTCACCCAAATAAGAATCCTCTGCCCCCGGTACTCAGGCCCTGCTAACACACACACAAAAGGTACACGTCAGATTCAGAAAATAATAATAAAAAACACTTTGATGGCTGGAAAGGTTATTAACACCTAAATCAAGAAACCAAAATAATTACAATTAGTGAATTGAAATAAACAGTTAGTTGAAACTAAATCCAAATGTCAACAGTAGCAAGATGTATAAAGAAATAATTAAAGAAAATAAACCAAACTTCAGTCAAAATTATTAGTCAAAAAAACAATTCAGGCAGGTGGGAGCAAAATACCCCACGCCAAAGAAATAAGCGATTATTTCAAAATAATTGAAAAATAGAAAACTCAACTTTGGAAGCAAAAATCAAATGAAGAAAACAATTAGAAAAATAAATTAGATCAAGAGAGGAACAAGGATTACAGTCCAAAAGCAAAATCAAATCAAATGAGAAAACAATAAGAAACATCCAAATGAATTAAATTGAGAGAGGAGCAGGAATTAAGGCTCAAATTCTAACACCAATCTCTGCAGCTAATATCAATTCCCAAAAGAAAATGAAAACTTTGTAAAAACAAACAGAAACTAAAGAAAATATCAACTCAAGTACAAAATACGATGGAATCAGATGACAGTTGATATAGTCGACACGGGATTAGGACATAATTGAAACAGGACAGCACTGCGGCCATAAATGAACACGGAGCCCCCAACTTGAATGTGGTTACGGTCCTTTACGGAGCTATAACAGGGCCCTATAAACAACAAGAGTGTTACTCTGCTAGATAAATTCTCCAGCTGAAGGCATGCGCAAAACTACTACGTACCGATCGTCGGGGAGAAGGAAACGTAGCTTTCTCTGGAGAATAACTCAGGTTCTCCCCACGGAGACAGGGTATTCATTAGGACACATCCTTAAATACAAACTAGTACTTTAAAAACACGCATTTCAAAAGAGCACGATTAGCGAGAGATCAGCGAACTCTTCCTACCTCCTCCAGCGTCCACATCCAATACACGCAGTACATGTAACCAATGATGAACAGTAACGAGCTGGTGCTGCAGAGGACAGCAGCACACTCTCCAAAGAAAACAGTGTTTCGGTTCGGGTGCTCACATCCGGTTTCCGGGAGGCAGTGACGAGAGCGCGTTAACGACGCAAGTCGAACGTGACGCCTGACGAGTGAGAAGTACGTGACTATTTTAAAGCCCAAGCGCACCTATGATAGGCTAGACCGGCCATCAATAATAATGAAAAATTAAGACGGAAACGCCCTTCCTGCCACAATTGCACTTTAGCAATTTCTCAAATAAAGCCACAATTGCCAAAGTAAGAATGTTTTTATGCTTGACTTTTTTGGAGAAAGGCAGATGGGAAATAATTAGCATAGCCGATGTTCATTAGTGCTTTAGTTTTCTCTCTAACCTTTTTTAATCTAATTGGTGCAACAATATCTAATGCACTAGTGAAAATGGTGCTCAAACTGCTAGTCATTTCCTCTAATTCATCTGTTTGTTTGGGTTCACTTAGCAGCTTAGATAGATCAGGTAAGCTATTTGAGAATCTATCTATAGTGGTTGGAAGGATTGTTATGCCTGGTCTATAATGTGGCACAACATGACATATTTCAGCAGTACGTATTATGCAAGTCACCATGTAATGATCAGTGACATCATCGCTTTGCGCTATAATATCTATATCAGTTGGAATGGTTCCATATGATATAATTAAATCTAGTGTATGATTTAGACGATGAGTGGGACCACTGACGTTTTGTTTGACCCCAAAGGAGTTCAATAAGTCTGTAAACGCAGCCCCTAAAGCATCATTTGTATTATCTACGTGTATGTTAAAATCTCCAACAATTATTGCTTTATCGACATTCACCAATAGATCCGAGAGAAAGCCTGCGAACTCTTTTAGGAATTCAGCATATGGCCCTGGAGGTCTATATACAGTAGCCAAGGCTAGAGATAATATGGATTTCCTTCTTACATCTAAGAGCGTAACATTTAGCACAAGTACTTCAAATGAATTAAACCTGTGACCTGTTTTCTGAGTAATATTAAAAATATCTTTATAGATTGTTGCAACACCGCCGCCACGACCGATTAGACGAGGCTCATGTTTATAACAGTATCCTGGCGGAGTAGATTAGTTTAGACCGAAGTACTCATTTGGTTTAAGCCAGGTTTCAGGAAGGCACAGAACATCGAAATTATTATCTGTGACCATTTCATTTACAATAACTGCCTTAGGTGTGAGCGATCTAATGTTTAGAAGACCTAGCTTTAGAAATAGTTTTTGTTCACTGATATTTAGATTTTCTGGTTTAATTACAATAAGATTTTTGCTAGATCCTGCACTAGATTTATTGTTTGGCTTCACTAAACAAGGAATAGACACAGTTTCTATATAATGTTCCACACTATGCATATTAGTTAAGTTTGGACAGCAAAGGCTGTGATTTGGACTTTGACTTACTAGTCATCTGGTGCGTAATGTCTTGGAGATGTTGTCCGACAGCACAGCCGCTCCGATTCGGCTGGGATGGAGTCCATCTGCACGGTACAGCCTGGGTCTCTCCCAAAACAGATGCCAATTCAGGGCTCCCGACGAACTTTTTTTACTAGGAGCCAGGGGCGTAGCCAGAATTTTATTTTTGGTGGTCCCGTCTTTAAATGAGGGGGCAACATTATTTATATATACTGTATATCAAGTTGATCTTTCTGTGCTTTTTTAAAAAAGTGTAATATTGTACTTTGAGTTTGAGCGCCTGCCATTGTCACGGCATATTAACTCTCACGCAAAGATGAAGATGACAGCGTACGTTACGTGCAACACGTTATATAAACAAATCAAGTTTGAAAACAAGCTGCATTTTACCACGCAACATTTTGATTGGTCAATCTATCAATCCTAATAAAACAACTTTTTTTTTTTTAAGCAATCAGAAATCTGAGTGGACGGACATGTAAATGAGGGGGCCTAGGGCCACCCAGGCCCCCTCGTGGCTACGCCACTGCTAGGAGCGCTGTTGCCCCTGACTGAAAATTTTAGGAGCGCAAGCAGAAAATTTAGGGGCACACCTTAAATCAGCTTGCAATGCAATTAATCAAATTTTCCCCAGAATAACTGTAATACTGACAAATTCTTTAATAATAAATAGACTTAACATTATGATATGCTGTTTTATTTTAAGTTCACAGGGCTCCAGGCTCAAATTTGAGGGCAGCACCACCTCAAATGAGAACTTACACCGAGTTCTAAAAAAAAAACTGGTTGCACTGGGGCTGACAATAAATCACTAAGCTTAATTTAGGGTGTAGATGAAGTTAACTTTAGTTATTATCATTTATAATGTCTTAAGTTTTAATTAAAAAAAAAAAGTAGTGAAAACGTATATTAAGGACTTGGAGTGAAAGCCAATAAACATCCTACTGTTTACAATGGTATTTTTTAAATAAGAGTTTAAATAAGACATTAGCCTAAATCCATGGTGAATGTTGCTGATTTGTGGACTGAAAGCCTTCTATATGTGTTTCTCCTGGTTTCCACGTCAGCACTGTTTGGTCTGATATGGTTTATAACAGAAACTGGATCTCATAGTAATGATGTTATTAATTCTGACATGAATTCAATGGATTTCTTCACTGGATTTCTTTGTAACAGTGTCGCGTGAGCGAGATTGGCCCGCGACTGGCAAGTTGGGGGCTTTATTAGCCTACTGTCAATGGTTCGGGGTGCTCCATAAGAACGGCTATGCGCTTCTCTATCTATTATTGGTCCAACCTAATAAAAACGGCAACGGTCCGTGAAGCATAGCCTATATGAGTTGCGTATTTTAGTTCCACTTTCATTTTGTTTGCATTCGTTGCTAGGTAACGAGTCGATAGATCGCTTATTGCTCAGACGCACGTAGCAGGTTGTGATATTAGTCTCCGTCTCCTTCCAACAGATGTTTACGCGCGCTATTCTGTCACTGATTCAATGACGCGTCCCTTCCACGCTTACCATGCACGCTTACCGTGGCAAATTTACTGGTCGCACATGTGTGACTGGATGTAAAATTCAGTCGCACACTCTCAAATTTTGGTCGCAAAATGCGACCATTTGGTCGCAGTCTGGAGCCCTGCAATTATTTACAAAGAGCAGTTTCTGTTCATTACACAATGACATTAACCATTCATTTAATGCAAATAGTCTACTGAACCTTTCCTGTCCTTGTCTGTACGTGGGAAGCGGTCCAGACACAGCCTAATGTTGTTCGCTCCCGCGTGCAGCACAACAGCTCCGACGCGTTCGTCCCCGTTCAGGATCTCGGGAACCTGTGCAGCGACATCAAGAACACGAGCACCAGGAAAGCAGTGAGTGCGCACCTTACCTTTACCCGAGGTAGCACGGGCATGACGGACCATGGATGTGCCGATGATCACGGCGTCGTCACGTTCCGGCTCGCGAAGAGGGGAGAAGCGGTTCCGAGTGGAGATCTCGAAGACGGAGAGGTAGTTCTGGTCATGTCTCGTGTCTTCCGTTGTGTGATCCATGGTCCATGTTGTTGTTTCGGTGCCGGAGTGAATGAAGCCCGAGATGATCGCGTCCTCCTGGGCAGAGGAACATACGGAGAATACAAAGTCGGAGTCAAAGAGTTAACGTTACTAACCAATGATTTGTGAGTGTCGGCGCGTGATGCTTCAAGCATTGAGCGCCGATCCAACAGCTCGGCTTGCTTCACCAGCAGACCACGGATCTGTTTCTCGACGTATTCCAGCTCCTGCTTCACCGAGAAGAGCTCGAATGTGTCCTCACCTGCACTCAGAGGTAACGTTAGACACGCATCTAATATGTTCGCCATTATAACAGATGAAAAGTAAATTAGTAGTGATACTACAAATATCACTACTAATTTAGGACTGAAATGCCGGATATAACCCGTATCCTTTCAGTGAAACGGGTGTAAAATGAGACGACCAATAGGCGAGAGGCCACACGTGGAATGCTAGCGGGCTAAAGGCTAGTAGCCGGGATTCGGAAGGTTGGATATAAGTAGCGATATCAAAGCAATCCAATTGTTTTTTATAAGGAATAGTATCGAGGATAAGTTCACATGATATAAAAATAGAAAGTGCTTGTTTATAAATGAGTGGTAAAGAAGAAAATCAAGGATTAGAACCTTGCACATGCATTGTGGCATGTGCAAGGTTTCTTTGTTGATCATGTGTTGTATTCTGTTGTATATTTGTTGTTTTCTGGCTTTTCGAGCACTCTTTCATTTTTACAGGGCTGCACACCGCATGTCACACCAAATATATTTGTTGCATACTAGGTGGTGCTGTAATAAGTAGGGTTTGGTACCGAAACTGGGCACCGATATGGAACCGGTACCTAAGTAAATGGTATCTAACCGGACCGAATCAAAACGCAGACTTCGTTGCCTCATTTTTGTGCATTCACTTATGTGTATTTAAGAATAAAAATATCAGCCAAGGACTGACTGACATAACGCAAGTTACGCAACCACTCACAGTTCGTTAGTTGTTTCGCATTTTTAGTGTTGCATTTTTAGTGTGAAAATGTGAAGTCGATGTCTGTACAATAATAGACTGGCGTACATCTAATAAATGATTAATTCAAGAACGTTGTGCAAGTTTACAGCAACAATAGAGTCACGGACCTTACATACTTTTGAAAATCCAGCCTTCAGTTGATCCTGATGAGCGCTCATTGTCACAGTTGTAAAAATGACCGCGTTCTTTTGGGTTTCGCGTCATGGCATTTAAGGTGATGCGTTCTAAAATAACGATCACCTTGTAAAGGACTTGCAGTATGTCAGGAGAGGTGTCATATTTGGCCAGAGAAGGCAAAAAATGTGAAAAGAATTGCTGAGATTTGTAGCATACCAAGAATATAGACTACGTTGCTGTTACTTTAGTGTTATTTTGTGTTAAATTATTGTATTTGGGTTAGGTTTTATTGTGAATTTATGTAAACTTGTTGTATTTTGTATTTACTCTAAAATTTGAATATATTAAAATTTTAAGAATTTTTAATTTTAT